ATTTTGACGGAGGCATTTTCAGAGATTATTCCAAGTGGGGAGGGGGAAAACAATAAACACAAGATAGAATAGAAGACAAGACCACAACCCTATGATTCTAATTTTGCTAATACACAATTAATGGAGCATGCTCTCTTTGTTCTTAAACTGAACTGCTTCATTATTTAGAAGGTGGTCTGTGGTTTGGAAAGGAATAAATGCTTCATGTGGACATTCAGAAGTCAGATGGAAACCTGCTGTGTATTTGAGACAGAAGTGTGTTTGTCTGGGGCCAGTTAATTTAAAGGTATTAAAACTTTTCGAAAGGACATGTAAGTTGTAATCATGACACAGTCTTAAGTGAGCCTGATTTTTGTTTGATATAATGAAAAATTAAAACCTGATTCTAAAAGTGCCGCAAAAGAAATTTTCCCATTTTTCCCCGTGAGAACTTGCATCAGCATATAAATGTCTTTATCAATTATTGAGAAAGGACTAAGAAAAGAAAAGTGACTGATGGCGGTACTGCATTTTGAACTGTGGTCTTGAAGCCCTTTGGTTGAAGGTTTCTGAAGGTCCAAGTCCTTCTGAGGTCTCTCTTACTCTCTTGCCTGATCAACTGTTTAAAGATTTTTTTTAGGAAAAAATTTAAAAGGGTAAGAAGACTGCATAAAGATTTGTTTTATTTTTAAATAGACTGTCAAATAGAATGTAAGTCTGAAACATTGAAATAGTAATGTTAAAAGTAGATCACTGGGTAACCAAACACCACTTCCAAGGGCAAACAACGTTAAAACTTAAACTCACACTTTCTCTTCAGTGTTAACTGTTCGTGACATTGATTACACACATAACTTCCTTTATTCTCCTGTGTTCCAACACACAGCAATAACACACTAGGGTTATTATTGTTTGCCATCTAGGATTTGTGTCTTATTTATTTCTATATAGGTATACTGGATTCTGGGATAAGACTCTACAACTAGTTTAAAATTTAAGGCAAAACCTCAACAATGAATGTCCATCTACAAGTCCTTAGCCCCTGTGCATTTATGAAACTAACAGTTAGGTATAAATGATAAAGGAATCACAACTCACAAAACTATGAAAGCCAGAATTGTATCAGAATCATAGCATCCATGCCCTTCAAATAGTTTAGGTAGATGTTAATGAGAAAATGAAATTATTCTATTAAGATTAACATGAATGTTTTTCTCGTACTCAAAAATTACTGAGGCTCTCAATTATGTAACAATCATGTAGATATCACCACATAATCATAATATTAATAATGTAGTGCCAACTATTTAACTCAAAATACAAGTATGGATTTATCTAATCTCAATGTGGGCTAATCACAAGGTTTCTTATTATCAGAAGTTTTAAATTCTATATAAACTTGCTTCAAGGTACTCTTGCTATCTTAGCTTAGATCTTTTACACTGATTCTTTACACAATGTATTCTTATAAAGTATTTTCCCATTCCACGTAAGCTGTAGAGATTAAACTTCACTTCCTTCCCTACATGCATAAAGTCATATGCCTTTGGATAGCTTTAGATGATATTGACTGTGTGCATACAGTTTATGAGCCAATAAATAGTCATTTAAAGAAATGTATGCACTTATGAGCAAAATAATATCGTACAAGTAATGTTAAGAAGCAAATGCAGGCTTTGCCACTGGGGTTACGCTACTGCACTTTATGACCTGATGTAATGTTGAAACAGTAAACTTGAACAACTGAAGAAAGATACAAGTTATTTAAGAACACGACTGCTCTAACTAGAATTATTATATTTAAAAAACTCATTTTAACTTTATCTGAAATTTTACCTTTACATTTCACATACCTGCAACGCAGTACTTCAAAGCTGAGATATGAGGATCTGGCCTGGTTACAGATCTGACCCTGGCTCAAAACAAAATAAGATCTGTGACAAAGGGGGACAAAATGTGTCCCTTTCTATTTTACCCGTACAGGATATGTGACATCACATAGTACAGTCACCTGTTGTGGGGTATTCCTTTACACTGTGTGAAGAAGATATGCCACTGTGGTTGGGTTAATAAAGGGCTGAATAGCTCATCAGGAACAGGTTAGGTGGGACTTCTGAGGATAGAGAGGTCTCGGGGAAGAAAAATGGCAGAGTCAACCCCCAGACACAGAGGGAGCAAGACATGCAGGAGAGATGGAAACCATGAGTCCCATGGCATCACATAAATGAGCAGAAATGGGTTCACTTCTGTTATGAGAGCTAGCGGGACAAGCCTAAGCTACAGGCTGAGCTTTTGTTAATAGTAAAAGTCTCTAAGTCCTTTTTCATGAGCTGGTGCTCCAAAGGAAAATCTGACTACAGCCACCTGTATCCCATGAGGATTTTCCCATCATAGTACATCTTTCTTCCTCCTCCTTTGGTCCTCTTGTGAACTGTAACCTCAGTCCCGACTGAAACTTACAGTCAGTTTGTGGGTTGATAGGCATCTTAAGGTTACCTATTTACCTTATCCTCTCCTCTCCTCTTCTCTCCTCTCCTCTTCTCCTCTTCTCTCCTCTTCTCTTCTCTTAGTAGAATCCATGACAACGAAAGATCATGTGAGTTTTATTCATGAATTTGTATGTACCAAGCTCTCACTGGTGTCTGGCACTGCATAATTCAGACTCCTTGAGAAGATTCCTAAAATAAATAAAAGAAATTTAGCTCCCAGATATTTGTGCCATTAACACATAGAAGTAAAACATTTGAAGTGTTCATGATACCGATGAACTTCTGTATGATTACTACAACTTTTGGTAAAGTTATCTTAAACATTTTTCTTTGCATTTGAAAAAACGTAAGCTTGTGGTATAAGAATTAACCTCTCACGGGTATAGCATCACTTATTATTATTGTTGTTTCCTTCCTCCCCTCCTCCCCCTCCTCCCCTCCTCTCCTCTTATCCCTCCTCCTCCTTCTCCTCTTTCTCTTTCCTTTTTTTTTTTATCATTTCTACTATTTTACAGAAAGCTGTATTTTTCCAGTTCTGGATTTCCTCAAAGGAATGGTCTGTCTTCCTCCTCTCTGATCTAGCACAGAAGAGAAAGGGCAAACACAAAGAGTGTGAGTGCTTCTGGGTTCCCGAAAATCAAGTTTACAAAGAACAAAAGTAAAAGACGCACATACCCATGCTTTAAGTAGCTGATTCATGTCGAGAGAAAAATCAGTGGATCTAGAATATGTTCTTAAACATTTACTTCATCTTATAGCCCTTTCTTTGTGGACAACATTAGTTCACTATAAATATATCATGGAATGATTTGAAGAGTTTCAAAGGAATTATGGCATAAATACTTTATGTGACCCAATTGTGAAACATTTTTATTACATAAAATATACATATGCATGTATTTATGACATTAACAATAATGTTTTCTAATTTTATACAAAACTATGGTTTTTAAAAGGTATAAAATGTTATATATTCATTTTATAACTATTAAATTATATTTATTAAGTATTATTAAATTGACATTTCAGTTCATTATTTGAACATCCAAATAGGGTGAAACTGTCAACCAAATCAATTTAAAAATACTTTATCTTGCCTCTGCAATTGCTAAGGTCTTTTAATGGAAGTGTTACTGTAATTGGAATTAATTAATCATGTAATTAGAAGTAATGAACAGTTGGAAGCAAAAAGAAATGACTAGAACCCTTATTCCTTTAAGATTTCATCTCAAAGACCTTTCAATTGGTAAGTGGCAATATGAAATTCTCTGACCCATTTCTTTATACTTATTTTAATAGAAATTACTCAACTGAATTCTGAGAAAGTCTACAAAACTTCTTAGAATATAGAAGATGCAGCTTAATGTTGAAATACTCTACTAGTGTGTGCAAGGTCCTGGACTCCATTTACCAGCATCACCAACAATACATAAAGAAATCACCTCCTTAGACTATGGGAAAGCCTCCTGTAACCCTAAGCTTCTAAATTATTGACATATAAGAATTACCTAAAATTATGATATAGCATTTAGCAATATCATTTAAAAATGTATTTTGAAAAAAATCTATTTAGACTACCATAAACCCCAGAAAATATTAATGCATTAGCCACATATATACTATTTAATGTTTTGTTATTCCCGTGTTTGTACTAGGATGGACTGCATTTATCATTTGAACATTGCCACGTCTGCCTTGTAAGATCTCAGAAACACAGAAATAGGGCTGCGAGCTGGTTCAGTGGTTAAGGGCTGTGATCCTTTCTTTCAGAGGACCCCGGTTCATTTTCTAGCACCCACATTGTTACTCCCAACCATTAACTACAAGATCAGATGCCCTCTTCTGGCCTCCATGGGTACTACATATATGTGAAGCAACATCACACAAGCAGGCACACACTCCTAAGCATAAAATAAATACTCTTTTAAAAATCACGGGGAAAGAAGAAGAAGATGTCTTTTTGAGGTCTTGTGACAGTATGGGAAAACAAACTGAGTGTTTTACTTAGGAAGCAGAAGATACAAATAAAAGAATCAGTCTAGTAGGAAAAATGCATTCTCAACCAGCATTTTTCATGTATTGATACTTTGCACAGTGTCTGAGGTTAAGCATGAGGAAAATAAATCTTATGATCATGTCAAGACAAGATGGCTAGAAGAGCTGAATTAGATGAAGTACAGAAGTGGGTGTGGTGTTATGTTGACTTGCTAATTTCCTGTGAATTCTTCCCAGACATATTTCCAAATGATTGTGGAAATTATATCCCCAACTTCTTTTCAAAGGAACAGTGAACAAAATGGCACTTACACTACTCACAATGTGTACTGACAAAGTTCCTCCGTCCCGTGAAAATCAACCACGATGTCCATCCACCAACACCTGCATGTGTGTGTACACATACACAGATGTGTGTGGTCACGAGAGTTCTCGGGATATCTGCTACTGAAAACTTTAGTGCTTGTTTATTGCATTTGGGTAAACAAGAGTGTACTATGAAAATGATTTCTTTTTAACATTAACGCATTTCCCCAGGTTAATCTCTTGGCTTTTGGAGTTATCATATACAAAGTTTTTCGCCACACTGCTGGGTTGAAACCAGAAGTTAGTTGCTATGAGAACATAAGGTACGTGGTACTTAAAGGTTATTTAAAACTTTAGCAACACTTCTTTCTTTCTTTCTTTCTTTCTTCCTTCATTCCTTTCTCCCTCCCTCCCTTCCTTCCTTCTTTCCTTTCTCCCCCTTCCCTCCCTCCCTCCCTCCCTTCCTTCCTTCCTTTCTCCCTCCATCCCTCCCTCCCTCCCTCCCTTCCTTCCTTACTCCCTCCATCCCTCCCTCCCTCCCTCCCTTCCTTCCTTCCTTTCTCCCTCCCTCCTTCCCTCCCTCCCTCCCTCCCTTCCTTCCTCCCTCCATCCCTCCCTCCCTCCCTTCCTTCCTTTCTCTCTTTCCTTCCTCCCTCACTCTTTCTTTCCCTCTTTCCTCCTTGTGGTTCTGGGCTATAGCACACTCAGTCCCAGTGCATTCCATGAGGTAGGCAAGTGTTCAACCACTCTGCAGCACTCTCAATCCCTTAATCACCCAAACAACAAATAATTTGGGAGACTGTTTTTAATAGAATTAGTTTTTTCTCCATACTTAAAATGTGCAATAGGAAAACAGTATTTAATAAAATTATAAACATCACAGATTAAATGGCATTGAATCCATCTTTTAAAATGTACTCCTATGTGAAAGGGAAAAGATGATAATTGTTCTAAGCTAAAAATAGATCTTAATGACTGTCCTTTGTAAGGCATTTCTCAGAGCTAGGCAAATCTTCCGTCTGATTCAGAGTTTATATATTGCTGTGATTTTTTTGCCTTTAACTCTCTCTCTAAGACCGATCTATTAAGACCTTGAAACTGTTTTGTTCAGGAGAAGCTGAAGCAGGGGTGTGGGAAGCAACGGCTGCTTGTGTTGCTTGGGGAACAGCCCTGCATCCTGCAGTTCTGTTACCTCAAGATGCATAGTTGTGATTTAACAACTGTTTGAGCAATTATCTTCTTTCAGTTCCCAACATTAGGAGGTTCATGTTGCATCCTGGCTTCAGTAAGGTTCAAAAAGGTGCATATTCTGAGGTGCCTTGCTAGCACACCTGCAGTAATGCAGCATTGACTCTACTGGTTTCAATGAGAGAGACAGGAAGCATCAGTTGCTTCTACTGATATCAATAGAATAAGACAGGAAGCATCAGTTGCTTCTATTGATAGCATCAGTTGCTTCTTTCCTTTCTTCTTTTCTTCCTTTCTTTTTCTTTTTCTTTTTGTTTGTTTTAGTTTTTGGTTTTTCAAGACAGGGTTTCCCTAGGTAACTCTGGCAGTCCTGAAACTCACTCTGTAGACCAGGTTGGCCTCGAACTCACAGAGATCCATCTGCCTTTGTGTTGGGATTAAAGCCACTACCACATAGCACCTGGCAGGATCACTTTCTCCAGGGAGAAAGACTTAATAATGTTTTACCTGAAGTCACTGACAGTTGATAGAAAATATCAATAGCTTAATACATATTTGCATATTTCCCTTAAACTTTAAGACCCTGCTACCCTGACATGAATTTATTTGAGGTTACTACCTTGCAAGTGCAGCAACAATGACAAAATTGGAGTTTTTCTCTCTATACTTCCATCACTACGGAACCTAAGCACCACCCCGAAGCCCCTTTAGGTGATGCTGTATGCCTGCTGATGCATGTCCACACAGGACGCTCTTCAAGGACAACTCAGAAAGGAAACCAGAGCCTGCATCTTTCAGTACGCCAGTTTAAAATAGTTTAAAATTAAGTTTCCTTCAGAAAATGTTACATTTTAATAATGAGGCCTTAAGTTTTGGAGCAGATTCTAGGTTGAACAGGAAGATATGTGCCCTAAAGGCTATCACACCAAACCACAGGGCAGCTGTCATTATCTAAGTCCTTCATCACCTCTCTGCTCATAAAATACTCACTTCATGAATCCCTAGAGAAACTGGGGCATATGTGGGATATGTGTGGCAACTGGGCGTTACATGGGCTCTCCTGGGTTCTAACTGAAGCTCTTCAAATGCACTCCAGGTCTTGTGCCAGAGGCGCCCTGGCCCTCCTCTTCCTTCTGGGTACCACCTGGATCTTTGGGGTTCTCCATGTGGTACATGCTTCTGTGGTGACAGCTTACCTCTTCACAGTCAGCAACGCCTTCCAAGGGATGTTCATTTTCTTGTTCCTGTGTGTTTTATCTAGAAAGGTAAGTAGCCCAAAAGCTTTGGTCAACCCAGATTATATTCATGTAGCCTGATAACTGATAGAAAATTTTAGCCTTAAAGATTTGCGACTTCTACCTTTCCCTGACAAATTGTAGTCCCTGTTTTAAATATACAATCATGATTGATGTCATTTTTTGTTTTAAAATACCAGAGTATAGCTGTGCATATCTAAATATGCCATGCAAAAAACCTTGTTATTAAATATGTATAATGTAATATAATAGATGCTATATAGTTTATAGTCACTTGAATATATTCTTATATTCATTCAAGCGCAATAAGATCTCAGTAAAGCAAATATGGCCAAAAAAAGCAAATATGGCCATTTGTTGTGACTAGAAAATAACAGTATGAAATTGCCTTAATGATGCACTGTCTTTTTCTTTTCTCTTTCATCAAGATTCAAGAAGAATATTATAGATTGTTCAAAAATGTCCCCTGTTGTTTTGGCTGTTTGAGGTAAACGAAGAAAATTCCTGATAGTTATAGCTGCAACGAGGTGAACACCCCAAGCTTCAGATCACCTGTGTGTAAACATCAACTTCTCCTTTCATTGCTAGTCATTAATTACAAGTTTGTGTTTTATTCAGAGTATAAAAGATGCAGTTAATGGGAGTTGAAATTATGGACCAGAGAGCTATGGTGTGTTTTCCTACATGACATAGCTAGATATGTCAAAAATAGTACTGCACATATTTGGAAAGTAATTGGTTTCTCTGGAGTGATATCACTGTGCCCAAGGAAAGATTTCTTCCTAACAGAAGAAATATATGAATGTCCTGAAGGAAACCACTGGCTTGATATCTTTGTGACTCATGTTGCCTTTCAAACGAGTCCCCTACCACCTTAGTAATGAGTTCCGCTGCAGAAAGGGGAACATAAGAGAATTGGAGAGGCAGAATATAAAGCAGAGAAGAAGGCTTCTCTGACAAGGAATTGTCATCCCAATAAACTTGACTTTCTCGATACTTGATGAGAAAATTTCAAAACAAAATAATGAAAAAAAATACAGCCTAGCAGTTTGGGAATTGCTCTGAACTTAAAAGAGCCAGACCTAAATTCGCTATATCCATGCTCTTTTTTATTCTAAAAAGCAAACAAAGAAAAATCCCTACAAATGAAAGGATGTATGTTCTTACGCTAACATTAGATTTGACTGTAAGATGCTTTTATTCTTCAGACTGAGACTTCAAATATGCAATCAGTGAAACCCAAATTTGTCAAATTGCAATTCTGTTTATGTCTTTAATGTAAAAATAGGGTGTGAAGCATTTTGTCTACAGTATTTTACTGTTGTGAAAATTATCTTTTCATATTAGAGCAGTATACTTGAATACTTCATTGATTTTAATCTTACAAATAATATAACTCATGTTGCAACAATTCCTTTTAATTGGAGGTTTTTAAGGGGGCACTGTAAATTTAAAGCATTCATAAAGTGAATTGTAATTCTTTTTTCTGATCAGAAAGAATGTGCCATTAAAACATAGTTTATAGCAAAGACATCCGTGAGTATTATGGGGGATTCACAGTGGAACTGTTTTCAGACCGTTTCCTACTGCCTACCAAAGCTGATTTGTTTAAATGTATGGCTGTTAGCTATTCTCTTGCGAATGAAGAGCAGACTTGTTTTTCAGAAATGAGTCGTTGTTCTGTACCTTCCTGAGAATGTGATTCACAGGACACTGTGATTTTAATTCCTGTGGCTGTTGGATGAAGCCTGACACATCCGTCCTCTCCTTCAAATAAAATGTCAGCTTGGTGAGGCTGTCCTGCCAGTGCTTGGCTGGGCTGCGCTCCTGAGAAGACCACTAGTCTCTTTAAGAAGGACTTAGCATTTCATGCCATCTCCCCATTTCTTACATGCTGAATCTGTGACCCAAGACTGCCATTGTCATTCCAGGATAGCACAGTAGAAATGGGATATCAAACACTAACCTGTTCAATCAGTGGACACGAAGCTATCCCATGTGGTGGACAGAAAAACCATCCCCAAATATCCACACGCTACTCTTCAGTACCTGTGGCTGTGGTGGATAGTGAGGCGAAGGGGGAAATGGGCGGACAGTCAGCTCAGCTGGACTCTCCTCAGCTCAGCTCAGCTCAGCTGCCCCGTGGAAGCCAGAATGAAGGTGCTGTTATTTTAGTATGGGTCACCCATTTCGGACCTCTTATTTCCAGAGCTGCCAGGAAATAAAATTCTATTATCGAAGCCACTAAATTTGTGATCTCATATTTATTTCATTGCATTGCATTTTTGAGGTAGCTATAGGGAACTAAGACTGGAAATGTTTATACACTAACATCTTTAGATCAAGCTACTATTCACATCAAGGCTAAAAACATTTTCATGGTTGTCCAGTTTCTCCATCTCTGAAATATCGTTCTTGTGGCAATTTGCGAAACCCACTTCCACAATAGTGCATGAATTTGTGCAAAGTCCTTTTCTACTTTTTCTTCTATTTCTTTGGACGGCTTTCTGAACACAGTCTAATTATCCACCACCTCCTGACCATGGGGCCCATATGGTAACAGTTGTGAACACAGCAGCGCCCCACTGTCCTAGGCCCTTGTGTCAGTTTAGGAATTTCCCCAAATGATTCCCGAAGAGTGTAGAGACAGCATCAGAATCAGGCCACCAACACAGCTGTGCATTTGTGCTGTACTCGGGCTCAGATTTTCCAAGACAGAGTTCCAGGGATGTAAACAGAGCTTGCCCAGTGGCAAAGTGTGTTTCACTCTCCATACCCATGAACCCCTCTCCTTCTGTCACATGACAGGGAGTGACACACACACACATTAGGAAAGTAAACTCAACCTCATAACCCCTAACACATTAGCACATAGTCACCAATAATGACTGGCATACAAAGTCTGCTTCCCTTCATAAATAAATGAACATGGGTCTTGGAGGATCTCAAGAGTCAGACCTCAAACAATAAGATAGACACCGAAGCAGTGTCAGAGAAATCCCCTGACTGTGGAAACCTACTACAACTAAGAAATAAATCATAATCCCTTATTCATATTTCTGTTTATTGTTACCTTGTGTTTAGGAAAAATGTGTTTATGTGCAGTATGAAAAACATACAGCAGTCAGGAAGCAAACACATTGTTGTCCCCAAAGGAAGCATGTCCAACAAACTTCACATGCTAACTTTATGAGAAAAGCACTGTTTTTGTAGCCTTGTTAACCAATGTCAGCCATTTAAAACACTTAAAATATAATCAATAACTGCATTTGATAATTGCCTATGTATTTGATCTAATTACTGAACCCATCTTAAACACCTTACAAACTATGATCTTTATATGTACTTTTTTTAGAAAGTGTCAGAGAACGAGTCCAGGGCTTTGTACACACTGGGTAAACACTGTCGCCCTGGCCTATGTTCATGGGATCCCTACCTCAGCCTGTCCAACATAGAACATTTGAGAAAACCATGAGTTTTGAACTTAGAATGGCCGAAAAGAGCGCCCTTCCTACGAGGGTTTTTCTTCCACCAGTGGTGTTTCCTCCCACGCAAGGTCCATCTGTCACTCAAGGCCACCTTCTACAAAGCCTCGAGTTGGTTCTTATTTCCACAGTCCCTACAACTTTACTTTGCACTTCCTTGTTTGAGACGTGATCTCTGAGCCTGAACTCGAACCCACTGTGTGTCAGACCGTGAACTTCTGATTGTCTGCCTCCAACCGTCCTGCTCTGAGGTACAGGCTTAAGAGCACGCAGACCTTGCATGACAGCGCTTCTGAGGCTCACTGCTAAGGAGCCACTAGGGTACTAAAACTTAACCCCCCCCCCCGAGCATGAGATTGCAGAAGTTAGAGGCTTGACCTAACAACAGCATTCATGGGAGGAATAAACACGGTGTCCCTGAAAGGGGCGTGGGTAATCTCTTGTTAAATTCTGCGACAGCGTTTAATTTTCACGGAGATACGGGTGGGTCCTACTGCTCTTTTCAGTGCAGAAAGCCATTGGGAAATTTGTTAGTGTTAGGACGCTAAAACCCTGAAAATTTTAACTCTCCACCCAAGATTTCCCTTGCCTGTTTGGGTGGGAGGGAGGAGACAAGTGCTTGGGCAGGGGATGAAAAAGACAGGACCCAGCTCGCTCACTGCCACCTGCCTTCCCAGAGCACCTTCCAGTCACAGTTATCAACTTGTGTCTCCGTTGGAAGAAGCACCACACCCTCTCTTTCCTTAGGGTTCCAATATCCTTTCAGCTTGAAAGCAGTGCACACCACAAGCCTCAGAGAAGTGGTCCCCCCCCGTCTTTTCCCACACATTTCTGTCACCCACTCACACCGTCAGACAAGCGCTTCATTTTAACAAACTGCATTTTATTCTTCCGTATTTCCCATCCTGTTCACATCATCATATTGAAATCATTAATATGAGCTCTTGATATAAAATTTATCTCTACTGCCTGCTTTTACTACCTAATAGCTCATTCATCCTTTTTAGTGGCTGAATCATATTCCGTATTAAGGGTGAGCCATAAAACACACAGCTGGTATCCAGTCTGGAATAGTGCAATAATACATTTGCAGGAGTCCAGTATTATTCAGAAGTAAAATTGCATATGCCGTATGGCTCAGAGATGGTGTTGAAAATGCTAAACCAATGGTTATTTATTTCCTTGTGGGGTATGAATTATCAGAAGCTAGCAAAACCTTTAGAAAGTATGTCCAAATGGAAGGAAGTTAGTCCATTGGAGACACCACTAAAGGGGATTGTGGGAGTCTTATTTACACCCTTTTCTTTTTAATTTGCTTCCCGGTTGCCATGGGGCTAACAGATCTCTGCACCCTGTGTCACAGCAACGGTGTAACGCCTTCCTTGTCACAAGCACAACACAGCCATATACCGAAAACTCTGAAAGAATAGAGCAAGATAAACTTTTCTTCTTTTTATGGTTAACTATGTCCAGTATTTTGATATAGTAGCAGAAGACTGACTAACCTGATAACCCTCTCCCTTGAGCAAAAGTCACTTGTTAAGCAGTTATTTAATGAAAATTGTTATGAATTTTAGAGTTACAAAGACAGTAGGCATTTTCATTTTAGAGAAGAATGGGTGTTACTCGTCATGTGTTGGTAGTTTGAGCAAGCATTAAGATCAGTGGGAAATCTGAAGGTGTGGATCTTTTGCTTAGTATTCAGAGAGTACACAGGGTAGGTTTGTGGCAGAGCCATGATTAATATAAAATGAGAGGGTTAGCTATAACAGATCTCTTCCAGTAACAGGATATGATGCTTTTGGTTTCAACCACCCACCTGGAGGCATTGCAAAACAATAAAATCTACAAAGTATATTACAATTTCATGCACTCAAAAATAAGAGAAAAAAAATAATAGGTTTCTTTCAATATTGGACTTGAGAAATATGGTTTTGTTTCCTGTTGGGCTGCAATTTGCCATGTATCAGCATCCAAGGGCCAGGCTGATCAACCTGAAAATGATTGTTTTCTTTCTTTTCCTTAATGTATTGGAAGTGGATCCAAAGGAACCTTCGGGATGCAGGAGGGTTAATTATCCTGGCAGTCAGTTAAGCTTTGGAGGTTTTAGGCGATAAGACAGAGCCCTGAAAAAGACTCCCTGCTACCACAGCCTGCTGTGAAGAAACAGTCATGTGTTGCAACTGCTGCAAATATTGCTCAAATTACCCTAAAATTTCCCTGTTTTTGTGTGCATCCTGGCTCCTGGAGAGAGGCACTGTGCTGAGGAGGTCATTTACTCTGTCACTTCAACCCACTCGGCAATCATGACAACTACATCTTTCACTCAGTCTAATGCAGAAGGCTTTTCAGAGAGACCTTGTGTGACCCAAGGGAAGTAATTATTTAAAACAGTCCTGCTGCTTGCTCTTCCAGTGACGACTCCTCTGCAGAACCACTGACTGCTCCCCAAGTTCATCTTCCCACTCAGGTCAGCTTCTCAGATTCTCCCAAAGGACTGTGCTAATAAACAATTGCCTTGCGTGTCTCAGAACTTCCCTTTCGTCAAGGCACGCCAGCGCCGAGGACCCAGGCAGGGCTGCGGTCAAACCGCCCCACTGGCATCTCATCTCTGTGTTAGTTAGCAAGTCACAGTCCAGGGTCTCAGTGGTCTGTGAAATACAGACAATAGAACCTACCGCATAGTGTTGTTGTAAGAAGTAGGTCACTGAAAACGTTGGAGAAAACACAGTAGCACAGGGTTAGCTGTAGCACTCGTTGAAAGAATTAATTCTCAATTTAGAAGACTAGAGTTGAAAATCCCTGGCACCTACATGATGCCAGTGTGCATGATGGCCCCTCTGTTACGCCTGCACTCTGGAGGCAGAGATAGGGAATCCCCACAAGAAGTTACCTATTATGTTGCCTCTATCAGTGAGCTGTGGGTGGGGTCAACTGATACCAAGTAGCTCCTATCCGTGAGTCCTGGGCTCAACTGAGAGGCTTTGCCTCATTGAATAAGGTAGAATGAAGGCAAGGAAGATTAATGATGTCAACTTGAAGCCTCCACACTCATGCTTACACACATGTGCAAGAACTGTACACACATTTGTCTACATACACAGGAAAATGTGTACATATATGTGTTCATACTACACACACAGAAACAAAAGATTAAGAAAATGAAAGAATCATTTTTAAGGTTTGCTTTACAAAATGCGATTGAGGCACTTATAAAGATCAATAACCTGGATTCTATGACATGACTTGAGCTAATGAAAAACAACAGTGCCATCACAAAATAATTGTTAAAACTAATAAGAATGTAAGCACTTTACCTATTTACCCATATGTGTATATAAATTATATATGTACATATATTCTACTCTGAGTTAACTAGTATTCATTGTAAGCACATTGAAGTATTTTTAAGATTAGATAATCATATACCATTCTGACAATGCTCTGGGAAGCTGGTGTTGTTTATAAAATAATATTTCAAAATACTTCTCTGCCTAGAAAAAGTGGAATGTAAACATTTAACATGAGAAAAGCTTATACATGCAGGAATGAATTTTACACTTCAATATATTGATTGAGACAAAAAAAATGAGTCTGTAAATTTAAACCATTCTATTTTTCTTCCACAACTAACGCACCGAAGTCAGACACTAATGCTAGATAAAGCAAAACCCTCAACAATACATGTGTTCCCCCTGACATCAAAGAACTCTCATGTCCCTCTCTCATTGTTGCTTTGCACATAACAGGAAAGAAAAC